TATATATATATATATATATATATATTAAAATTTCACTAATTATATTTTATTTAACTTTTTATAATTATTTAAATACTATTTGTTGATAATTCTATTAACAACTAATACATATTTATATAGACAATCTTCAGATTATTAATCAAATTACTCATGCTACCGTGCAACGCACGGTTCCCATACTAGTATCATTTAATGCAATGATGGTTGTAAAGTGGGCCATTGTTATACATTGTTACTCACTGTTTTGAAAGAACTTTTGAGTGATAGTTCGTAGGCAAAATTGGTGTCACCATCTGAAGAACTATCTTAGTCCTTCAGATCTGAAAGAGTACCTTCATTTCTCATTCTTTCAGTTGTTAGCAAATTTTTCTTCAGTTAAATTGTTTACAATCATATGTCTTACATTTCTAGCTTTCACAACAAATCTATAATTATTTGTTTTAATATAAAATATAAAAGTAAAAGTAAAAATTTGTTATGCTTATATTCAAAACCATACAATTTTACAACACATTATATATAAGTCATTATATCTCAAGATCAATATATATGAATTTTTTTTTTTCTCAATCATTGTTTTACAGAGTAATTTAATGAAATTTTATATATTTTTATTAAATTACAATATTTAAATATACAAAATTCTTTTTCTTTTAACAATTTACGAAGAAAGAATATGTATAATATATATTTTATCTTAATACGGAGAAGATGTAACGAACGCTTTATTTTTTTTCTTTAAAATATTATAATAATTAAAAAGGTACCCATACAAGAAGCGAGATATATTTTAATTTAAATATTTTATTTTATTCTTTATTTTTGTCGATATAATACAGTTTATGTAATTTTAAGAAAATGATAATGTTTTTATTTTTGAATAAAATATAAATTTGAATATATCATAAAATTTTGAAAACTATATCGATATTAATATCAAAATAACTATTTATAAGTTTTTTTTATAATTTAGTTTTTATTATAATTTAGTTTAGGTTTAATAACGAAATAAATTATTTTTGATTTAATAATATATTTTTTTTGTAAAGATAATAATTATCGTAATTATAATTTATGTTTAAAATTAGATGTTTATACTGTATTTGATTATGTTTATCTGTAGTTAGTTACACGAATTCAAATATATAGCTTTAATAAGTTGTATTTACTTATAATTTATAATATACATCTATACTATATTATAAAGCATTTGACAAAAACTCTTAAAAACAATATTTATGCATGAAGTACTGTATATTGATGCATATTACTTAAAATTCAATATTACAAGTAAATAATGTATAAGTACAATTTATTAAAGCTTTATTTTTTTAATTTGTGTAACTAACTGCAGATAAATATAATCAAATACATGATAAATATAACATTTTAAATATAAAAAACTAAAATATAATTATGATAA